TTTTTGCATATTGGTGGGGTTCAGAATGTGGTTGGAGGCACAAGTACACTCATCCAGAGTGAGCTTTCTGTGTTGTGTTTAGTTGGCTCCTGACTTCACATGTAGCTTAAGATTCACGATCATGAACATCTTCTTACTGTTTATGAAGTGAGAACCGTGTTTCCATTCACTGGCGGAATCACAGATAACAAAAACTCCACGTGAAGTTTGTTTTCCAAATTCAGTAATTTATTCTCTAGAATTCAACTAGATAAGCTTCAGGTTGCCCTCAATTTAAAGAACCTGAATTAGTTTCTTTTAAATATGATGTCAAAAACATAAAAAAATCAGAAGACTCAGAATCATTGTAGTTCCATAAAGGAAGAAAAAATTGGTTCAGAACTCGCCCTCTTTTTTTAATCATATAAGTAATTTTTGTGTAGTTGCAGTGTAATTTGGTCTTTTGGAAGTTTGACCATTTGTACAAATAGGAAAGAACACCTACTCTGTAAAGTACCAAGGTTGATGCTTTCATTTCCTTAGGCCAAGTGAATTATAGCATTGCAGTACATCCTTTTAAATTTTTTTATTAGCCTATATTAGTTGTACAGGGGAGTTTCATTCTGACATTTACATATGTGCTTACAATGTGTTTTAATTTTAATTAGATTCATCCCCTCCATCTAACATCTAAATTCTTTTTCTTTTTGGTGGTACTGGGGTTTGAAGTCAGGGCCTCATGCTCACTAGGCAGGTGCTCTATCACTTGAGCCACTACACCAGCCCTTTTTTGCATTGCGTATTTTCAAGATAGGGTTTCTGGAACTCTTTGTGGGGCTATCCTTGAACTGTGATCCTTATCTCTGCCTCTTGAGTAGGTAGGATTATAGGCATGAGCTACGGGAGCCCAGTCTAGCAGTGGATTCTTACTGCACAGAACTGTAAAACTTTGAGAGTGGGCTTTGATAGCTCTTGCACAGCACTTTAAAAGTGTGTTATTATTTTCAGGTTGCATTGGTGAACCTCACTTTTTTTTTTAACAAATAACCTTTTTTGTAGACACACAGTGTTTTATACTGTTAAGAATCAGGCAGTGCACTTTGAGAGAAGACTAGTTCATGGCAATTTTCTTCTTAAAACTTACCACTGTTGTCTCTGAAAGTGTTATTTTGTTTGGGTAATTTCATTAAGCATGGATCTGAAGATAAGTATCAAAGATGTGCTAAGCCATTGGTGATAATTTCATAATAGAGTACTTTAAGAAAGTGTATAGCATTAACTAACTTAGATGATTGTTGGTTTCATTATTTGATAATAGAAAACAAAACTTCTAGGAGGTTATATGAGTTTTCTCCCTATCTCTCAGTGACAGGGTAAGAAGACAGCCCAGTTCCTAACCAGGTTCTGAGAGCACCTACATATGCTCTCGGTGTTTCCTTCTATGATTGCAAACGTGCTGCTTATGATTCACTAGCAGATATTCATACACATTGACTTATCATCACAATAAGTTCTAGGTCTTTCATGTGGTTTTGTTACTTAGGTAAGTTTTTCTCTTTCTTTTAGAAAATGACTTAGTGATAAAAACAAAAGAATACATGAATGATAACTGAAAAAAGCATTGCTTCCTTTTAGGAAACTACTAACATTTGCATAAACCACTTGCCTGTCTGGTAAGTGATGATCTGCTTTGTCAGTCCCTGGAGACCTTTAACATTAGGCTATTTTTGTTTTTATAGATAAAGAAAGTTCTATGTTTAAGATAGATGTTTGTTAAACTCTTCAATTAATGACAGTTAGTGAAACTGGATATTTTGAAAGTCTTTAAAAAGTCAATTAAAAACTTAAATGTCTATATTGTTATAAACACAGAAAATTTAAGGCTTTGAAGGATTTTGAATTGTGCTGTGCCTGTCTTGTTAATTACTTGCCTTTGGTACTACTGTGATGTGTTAAGGGAAAATACTCAAAATATACCAACTTGAGAATTGGAAAGGATGCTTAAAGGAACTATCACACTTAAGATATCCTCAAGAAGACATTTACAGCAACAGAAATTACAACCTGGCTGCTTGGTTTTTATTCACTGAAGTAGATCACCAGAAATGATTTGAGGAAGAGATTTATATAATATGTTGTTGGAATTTTGCTGGGCTCCAATTCTGGAAAAGCAGATTAATGTTGAAATTCCTATAATTAAGCATATGCCTTACTGATAGTGAAATAATAGCCACCTTTGAGATTATTTTATCAGTATTTATTTAGCCACTGCAAACACAATTTAGTAAACTTTGCATTGCTGACACCTGGCATTGTTGCAGATAAATTTGCATAAGTTGTAATTGATGATTTTTCATACATCCAAATTTTCAGGTATAAAGGTCTTATTTTAAGTTGGTACCTAGATACATTTTTTTATAAGTACTGAGCCTTTTGCAGTACCATGTTTTATATGGGGTTATAATGTATGAGGATTTACCTTAATTTATCATAGGTAACATTAGTGCATTCAGAGAGTGATCACAGTCATAAGAGATCTTTGTGTGGGTACAGGATGGAATTCTGAGACTGGTCCTCCTCCTTCTCTACCACTACCACCATCATTAATCTTCATCATGGCTAACATTTAGGGGCATACTCATTTAATACTCATAGCAATCCTGTGAGAGTCAGATGTGTATTTTCATATGCATAGCATATAAATCTCTAGTGGGGTCTGGGAAAGCACCCCACATGCAAGCTGATTAGTGGTTTTGCAGGGAGATGTAAATAGCCACACTGACTAGAAAGAATAAATAAAAGTCACAAATGCTCTCATGTTAATTTGGATGAGATGGAGTATGTTTAAGGTGACTGGCCATAGACTCTCATGTTAATTCAGATCAGGTATTGCCACTAAATGAGATTTTTGGTATTTTAGAATTGATAGTAAGGAAATAAAGATAGTACAGCATTATTATAATCCCTTTTTATAGATGAGAGAAAACTGAGGTCCAGAGAGGTTAAGTAACTTGCCCACTATCACACAGTAAGAAGCAGAGCTGGACTGTGACTAGGTAGCTTTTTGAAATAATAGGCTGGATCTGTATGTACTTAAGTAGTGATGTGCCCATGATAACTTGTTAAATTTAAAAGCTATTCAGTGTCTAGCACCAAATAACTCTCATTGCAAAGAAGAACATATAAAATATTGTCCATTTTTGGAAAAAAATTCTATCATTCTTTATAAACATTACAGAGAAAAATTTAGAAGTATATTGACTACACTCTTGACAGTGTTTACCTTTGATAGATGAGACTGGCAGGGTCTGGGGATAATTAAGGATGTCTTTAGTTATCATTTGTGTTTGTAAACGATGAATACATATGTAAATAAAAAGTAGAAGAAAGGTTAATAACTGGTAACAGATCTTGACTCTTGCTTCAGAAAAATGGAAGCTTGCTGCTTTCTATCCCTGCCATCCAGTATAGAGAATCCTCCTTTTTATTGTCCCCCATGATTATACATGCCACTTGGCCAGTTATTTTTCTTTTGTTTTCTGTAGATAGTCGGTTTTCTCAAAGCTATGTAAGAATAATATTCCATACAGAGTGAGTGGAGTTTAACAAGATGAAATATCACAGTGAAAATAAAGTTCAAGCAGTGCAGGATGGAGGCATTGTGTCTTGGCTGACAGGCAGATAGGCGGCAGTGTGCTAAGTGAACTGACAATGTACCAGGGCTGCCAGTGATGTGAATGTGATCTTCAGCTATATAAGAAGAGTACAGAATTTAGACTGTGAGAATTAGTTAAACCTCTCCATATCCAGAGTGTATCCAGAGTCTCAACTTCAGTTCTGGATGCCATATTTTAAAGGGATGAAGGCAATGTGAAATCTTTTTTTAGGTACATTGTCAATACAGGCACAAGTATTGACAATCTTGGCCAAGTTCACCTTAGTGTTTTGCCAGCTTATAGCAATATTTGAGTAATTGCTGCTGGAATGAGTGATTTAATTCAATATTGATGGACCACCAGCTCTGTACCACTTCCTGAGTGTATTGAATACACAGATGAAAAGATGTGGATTTTGCCTTTCATGGCAGACACATAGTAGAGGGCACATTGTGCTAAGTGTGACAGTATACAGTGCAGAGGCCGCACAGAGAAATTATGGCTAACTCTTCCTGCAATGGTAGGGGGTGGAAAGAGTACGGCCTTCAGAGACAACCTGAACAATGAGCTGAGTTTTGAAACACATGCATTTCAGTGAACAGAAAGAGAAGATCAAGAAAGGACAGTATGGCCTTGTTCAGGGACTTGAAAGGATGTCAAGCACAAGAAAGACTGAAATCCAATTCAACCTCGTGGGCTCAGGGACCAGTTAAGGCAGGGTACAGGGAGACAGACTTAGGCTTAGTTTTAAAAGTTTCTAATAGAGTGGTCCAAGTGTCAGAGTTTCCATTTGCCAGATGTGTTAAAGCGTGGGCAAGTCAACCATGTTAGCCATAGTACAGCAGAATGGCTCACACAGTGGACAGAGAGGCTTGGGGCTTGAGTTCTAGGATTAGACTCCTAGTACTGACTCTTTCACCTGCTGGGACTGTGGCTTAGTTAGGGTTATGATAGCATTAAATGCTCAGAATAGCACCCTGTTACACAATAAGAGTTAAATAAGTTGCTAATAAGTATTAGCTGTTATTATCATTGTCACTGGGTGGGTGGTTAATGGATATACACTTGTAAAGTTCCTCTCATTTTGAAAGTCTGAGTTTTTAATTGAATTATGTGACAAAATTCTTGTGAATTATGAAGATGGTAACACAGAAACTGAAGCAAAAACCAAACAATTCAACAGTAAAGTTATGAGTAAAACTCTAATCTGTTAACTAGAGATACACTGCTCTAATAACTATCTCCATCTTCTTTTGGTGATTCTTCCACCACTATCCCAAGTATTTTCCAAGGGACTGGAACTGTATTACTCTCTATAGCTCATTTTTTCTTTGTCTCCTAGATAAAGTGGCTTCATGAATAGGAATGCCTGTCCAAACACTGGGATTGGGGATAATGGATGAAGATAAATTAATTGAAGAAGTCTTGGATAAGTTTGTTAATTGTCATGAGCAAACATATGAAGAATTTCTGAGCACTTTCACTCATCTTTCAAAAGGTAAAGTGAAAATAAACTTTCTACAGAAGTAGAGATAAATAATTTTATTACAAATTTATGTCTTTGCTGTCTTTTTCAGAAGACTCATTCATTCAGTTCCTTCGGTCAGGTAATTCTTATTAAGGCATTCATGACTGATGCATGTAAATACCAATGTCTTCATACATTCAAGAGCTGTGGTATAAACTCAGAGCCACTGAATTTAATCATTAAAAATGACCTGAGAAATTATTGTGTATATTCCCTTCATTTTGTTTTATAAGAACTGCAAATGCAGAGTGGAGATTGTTAAAAAAATATTTAAACTTAAACAATGTACACATTTGGATTTTGGCGTCAACACTAGTTATGTGACCTTGGGGAGGTCATTATGGAATAAAGGGAATAATAACAGTTCCTGCCTTGAAGGGTTATAAAGGCTAACTGAGATACTTCATGTAACACTGACATAGTGGTTAACACATATTAAGCACTTACTAAATGGTAGGTATTGTTTTTGCTGGGATGGTAATGATGCTGGTGATGTTGCTACTGCTTCTGAAACAACCCTTTAGACCTGGTAATAAGGTGAGCTTAAAAGGTCCAGACCCACACTTTGTGTTTCATTATGTGCTTTGTGATTTTATGGGGAAAATCTTGATCTGTGTCATTTTTTTTCAGATGAAGTGAGAAAATCTGGTGTGTATGATTTCCCTCATGGAAATATCAGCTCAAGCTCAGGAGCCCATGCCCTGTGAGCTCTCTAGTTTTATTCTTTCAGACACTCACATCACCTAAATATGTGTGCTTTCAATTGTCTGTTTTGTTCAGTGCTGTGCTCCCTTGGCCACTGGAGTTGTGTTCATTCTAGGTTCTGTCTTGGATTATCACTAGTTTGGTCTCTATCTTGGTCTTTTCTGGGTCATTGATCACATTTGGGGATCCATGTGAGGTCACTGGTTCTCCACCTACCTGCGCATAAGACTCATCTGAGCAGTTTTTGGAACATGTTGATACAGACCCAACTGTACAGCACAGCTAGGATCAAGGAATCGGTAGTTTGTAAAAGTGCCTCTGGTGAGTCTAATGTGTACCCAAGGTTGAGAAAGGGAGTTTTATAATCTCCAAGGTCATGACACTCTTAGAAACCACACCATATGTTTTTAAGTTATGAGTTATGTGTTCTAAACAATTAAAAAAGAAAGGTAGCTATCATGAAGAAAAGGAAAAGCGATTCTAACCTGTTTCTTTTACTGTGCAAGACAGGTTGAACATTCCTAATATGAAAATCTGAAATCTGAAATATTTCAAAATCCAAAATTTTTTGAGCACAGACATGATGCCACAAGTAGAAAATTGCACACCTGACTTCATTTGATATATCACAGTCAAAACACCCATTCATTAAAAGTATAGTATAAAATTACCTTCAGGCTAAGGTGTACGTGAAACAAAAATGAATTTCGTGTTTCTATTTAGATCCTATCCCCCAGATATCTTAGTATGTGTATTCAGATATTCCAAAATCTGAAAAAATCCAAAATTTGAAGCACTTCTGAATCTAAGCATTTCAGATAAGGGTTACTCAACCTATAGAACAACATCAGTATCTATTGTGTTTATACTTAAAGCATGTGGACTGTGGATTTTATTTATATTTAAGGGAAATGGTGAGTTTAGGAATATCAAGTTAACTTTGGTGCTATCGGTGAATGACTTGTCTTGACATATGTAGATTAAATTAATTTTGAGACTGACTCAATCATCTTTTAGTTTATGAACTTGGGCCTAGGAAGATACTCACTTTCTCTAAGCCTAATTATTTAGTTCCTTCTTTCTGGTTCTGAAGATGGCAGTATGAATCAAACTACTGATTCCTTGACCCTAGTGCTGTAGAGTGGGGTTGGGGTGGTGGAACCAAGGATTAAAACTGGCAGAATTAATGAATTTGGATCTAAATTATTTTGGAAATTATTTGTGTGGCTGGCTTTGTTTTATGTTTTTGTGCTTTGGAAGAGTAAAACCTTACTGCAAATACTTTAAGGGATACACTGTGTTTGTCTTTGGGATCAGGCCTAGTGTGTTTCCAGATTCTGATTAGGCATTGCATGCCAAGAAAGAAACTATGCAGCAACTTCATTTTGAGTTCAATTTGGGACCCCAAATTAAGCTGAAATAAATGATGATACAAGTCACATAAACTGCATCTTCAAGTACACTCATTGTTTTTCCTTTCAAAATATCCCGAGGCACCAGTTCACATTATAAACTAATGACCTGAAAAATTCCTCTTAAAGCACAAAGAGTTATGAGTGCACAAATATGTCTTAAATCAGTAAGTGTCTTTTTCCCCTGCTTGAAACATTTAGATAGCTCTCATAAAACCAAACAGGACTTAGGAACAAACCTAAGAGTAAAATGATAGCCTGGAGAATTTGATCTAGGTTGATATGGTTAGTTGTGTTTGAGAAAAACAGGAAGGACATTTCTTTAAAATTCTGGTTTCCCCATACTTTCCAGGCTCTTCATTTGTTGAAATGTATTTGATTATTTTGCTGATATTTAGTGAATCTTTTCTCAGTTAAATTGGTTATCACCAATTACAATGCATACTTACGTGCATCTCCTTAGTTCAGTTTCTTATCCATTATCATTTCTACTAACTGTTCTACTTATTTTTTATAATAGTTATATGCCAGAATGCTTATGGAATTCATTTTCTTTCTAAGAGTGTTGAAAGGGTCAGTAATCCTACTAAATTTTTCCCTGGAAAAATTAACTTATAAGCTTATTGAAAGAAATTCACATTACTGATTTAGACTCTTGAAAAAACAGTTGGAAACTTAATGTTGTAGCATAATTCTCATGATAGTATATTTCAGTTTGATCATGTTTTGCAATGTTTTCTTTTTTAAAACAACTAGATTTCTAAGCCATATATATATATTATATATAATATATGTTTGATAGTGAATACAATGTTCTGTCAAAATGTTTAAAGAAACATTAATTATTAGTTTTAAGTAGACAGTGATAATTGAATTCTCCTTTTTTTTATTCATATGTGCATACAATGTTTGGGACATTTCTCCCTCCTCCCCGCACCCCCTCCCTTATCCCTCCCACCTGCCCCCTCCGTCTCCCCCCGACCCTTTCCTCCCCCCCCACCCTTTTCCCCTACTCCCCTATTCCTTCAATACCCAGCAGAAACTATTTTGCCCTTATCTCTAATTTTGTTGAAGAGAGAGTATAAGCAATAATAGGAAGGAACAAGGGTTTTTGCTAGTTGAGATAAGGATAGCTATACAGGGAGTTGACTCACATTGCTTTCCTGTGCATGTGTGTTACCTTCTAGGTTAATTCTTCTTGATCTAACCTTTTCTCTAGTTCCTGGTCCCCTTCTCCTATTGGCCTCAGTTGCTTTAAAGTATCTGCTTTAGTTTCTCTGCATTGAGGGCAACAAATGCTATCTAGTTTTTTAGGTGTCTTACCTATCCTCATATCTCCCTTGTGTGCTCTCGCTTTATCATGTGATCAAAGTCCAATCCCCTTGTTGTGTTTGCCCTTGATCTAATGTCCACATATGAGGGAGAACATACGATTTTTGGTCTTTTGGGCCAGGCTAACCTCACTCAGAATGATGTTCTCCAATTCCATCCATTTACCAGCGAATGATAACATTTCATTCTTCTTCATGGCTGCATAAAATTCCATTGTGTATACCACATTTTCTTAATCCATTGTCAGTGTGGGGCATCTTGGCTGTTTCCATAACTTGGCTATTGTGAATAGTGCTGCAATAAACATGGGTGTGCAGGTGCCTCTGGAGTAACCTGTGTCACAGTCTTTTGGGTATATCCCCAAGAGTGGTATTGCTGGATCAAATGGTAGATCAATGTTTAGCTTTTTAAGTAGCCTCCAAATTTTTTTCCAGAGTGGTTGTACTAGTTTACATTCCCACCAACAGTGTAAGAGGGTTCCTTTTTCCCCGCATCCTCGCCAACACCTGTTGTTGTGGTGTTGCTAATGATGGCTATTCTAACAGGGGTGAGGTGGAATCTTAGTGTGGTTTTAATTTGCATTTCCTTTATTGCTAGAGATGGTGAGCATTTTTTCATGTGTTTTTTGGCCATTTGAATTTCTTCTTTTGAGAAAGTTCTGTTTAGTTCACTTGCCCATTTCTTTATTGGTTCATTAGTTTTGGGAGAATTTAGTTTTTTAAGTTCCCTATATATTCTGGTTATCAGTCCTTTGTATGTAGCTGGCAAATATTTTCTCCCACTCTGTGGGTGTTCTCTTCAGTTTAGAGACCATTTCTTTTGTTGAGCAGAAGCTTTTTAGTTTTATGAGGTCCCATTTATCTATGCTATCTCTTAGTTGCTGTGCTGCTGGGGTTCCATTGAGAAAGTTCTTACCTATACCTACTAATTCCAGAGTATTTCCTACTCTTTCCTGTATCAACTTTAGAGTTTGTGGTCTGATATTAAGATCCTTGATCCATTTTGAGTTAATATTGGTATAGGGTGATATACATGGATCTAGTTTCAGTTTTTTGCAGACTGCTAACCAGTTTTCCCAGCAGTTTTTGTTGAAGAGGCTGCTTTTCTCCATCGTATATTTTTAGCTCCTTTGTCAAAGACAAGTTGGTTATAGTTGTGTGGCTTCATATCTGGGTCCTCTATTCTGTTCCACTGGTCTTCATGTCTGTTTTTGTGCCAGTACCATGCTGTTTTTATTGTTATTGCTTTGTAATATAGTTTGAAGTCAGGTATTGTGATACCTCCTGCATTGTTCTTTTGACTGAGTATTGCCTTGGCTATTCGTGGCCTCTTGTGTTTCCATATAAATTTCACAGTAGATTTTTCAATCTCTTTAATGAATGTCATTGGAATTTTGATGGGAATTGCATTAAACATGTAGATTACTTTTGGGAGTATAGACATTTTTACTATGTTGATTCTACCAATCCATGAGCATGGGAGATCTCTCCACTTTCTATAGTCTTCCTCAATCTCTTTCTT